TTAACTTCAGATGGAGTTCCTCTGAACAGCTGCACACTCAGTTAATCCAAACAGGAAGTGAACAGGTCCAAACAGCAGCACTAAGATTCTATGCCCCAACATCACCTATGATATACCGGCACCAATATGTGGGAAAAATATTACTTCAAGTGTTGCAAAAAAGTAATAATAACATATTCCCAAGAAATGAGTCTTGTGGAAGTAAAATAAAAGAAGACTGGTCAGGCTAAAGTTTGGATTAATAGTCAAATGTGAAAAAAACTAAATAATAACAAAATGTACAAATTCACTTAATATGACTAGATGAAGACAGAGAACAGACCATATACATTATATTGTTTTCATGCTTCAAAAGTTTATTTAATGCAAGGCTAAAGGAAAGAAAAAGGTTTTACTCAAATAATCATTTATAAAACATTCACTCTGCTCGAATCTACCTTTTGTTTTATATGTAATTATATGAAGTAAATAGAAGAAGCTTTTAGAAAATAGGATTTCTATGTGGCAGAATAACTGAAAGACAATATAGCATCCTCCACCGGTTCTGGTTTAAGCTAATTTATACCAGAAAAAGGCTTCCTCTCGGACTGCTCAGACTTTCTTGGCACAGACAGATGGGCGACGAGCACAACATTGGAAGTCAACCCAGCACTTTGCAGCTAAGCACAATAAAAAAAAATAAAAAATCTGTTAATATCACAGAAACAAAATGCTGTTTACAAAGAACTATGATTGCAGGGAAGCTTGATATTCTACAACCGTTCTCCCAAACAAAAACATGAAACAATCAACAATACATGCCCCTGTATTTAATCCAGTAAATGTAATAGTGTTCTAGCTATAGTTTTACTAACATATTTAACCTGCTAATTACCCATTACTCCTTTAACTGCTTGAAAAACATACACTTATGTGTGATATTTTCTTTTACCATAATAGTTCATCTCCAAACAGTGCTGGTTGCCTTGCACATTGTTAGGCTCTCCTGGACACCAGTTTGTGTAGTGGAATTCGCTTCCATCGCTCCAAAACCAAAGGCTTGTCTGAAAGAAAGAACCCAACAGATAATAAACGTCTTTCAATCATTTATCAAAATACTTAACAAATAAACTAACTAGTAAAAAAATACCTTCTGTGCGTTATAGCCTCCAATCCATGCTGAGTTGGACCCATAACTTGCCATTTTTATTACATTCTGAATCTGATGGTACTCCCTTAGGTTATGAACTGATGCCAGGTGTCCCCCCATGGACATGCAGTTCTTCTGCAGACAAAAAAAAAATGATTTACAGAAGTAGTAGCTGCATTTTGTTAATTAACAATCATAAGATAAGTGAGTAAAATAGCATAAGAGAACAATGTTATTGAAAATCACCTCAGCTGAAGCCCAATTCATGGGCAAGGAAACATAGTGGTAGCAGTTACCGTTGTACTCAGACCAGCCAGAAGGACAAGAAGCAGATCTCTGGATCAAGTCCATTGATTCTAAAACAAATGGAGAGCCTTAGTTAAAAGCAATGTATTTCAGCATTAGAATAAACTTTATTCTTCATGATCCTATTAAAAAACAAAACTCACTGACCTTCATCAGCAGAGCCATCATCTGGAACAGCTGTGGGCATTTTAAACAACAGGAATTAGTGAGTTTGTTTGAGTCTTAGTAACTTTACAAACTCTGTATACTTGAGAAATGCTTACGATCAGCTCCGGCCCATGCCATCTCAGAGAAAACCAGGACACACAAAACCAGCAACTTCATGATGGAAGTGATGAGATGATGGAGATATACAAGCTGAAATCAATGAAAAATAAGTTAGAGATGTTATGAACATTTAAACTCACCAGTGAGTGAAATAGAAGAGCAGAGAGTCGATCAGCAAACCTGATTCAGAATGGTTTGTTTTCTTCGTCTGCCAGGACCACCTAGGGCTCAATGTGCCATCCCAGGCTTCTTATAGAGCTACCAACCTTTTCGTCATCATAAAAATAAGGAAATGACTCAGAAACTAATTCCACAGAATAAAATTACATGATCAGATCTGGTTTTTAACCTGTGTCACAGTTTACCAAAGTCCATTTATGCCTGTCATGGCTGTGAAAGTTGCAACAACTCCCTGAAAACTTTTTTGTAAAATGTGGGGTCTACAGGCCATTTGTGGCCCTCTGGGACTTTTCTGTAGCTCTTGATTGCAATAACGAATTGTTTAAATTAGGTTTCCCATTGATACATATTTAAGAAATATATTAGGGTGTTATTCTGATTTAGAAAAGAATGCAGCAAAATTACATCGTTCCTACAATCTCTCACACATGTGAGGTGAAGCACACATTTTTGACCTTCTTTCAGTCATATATTTGCTTGTGGTTTCATTCAGATGCAAATGCAACAAAAATCCAGTGGCATTCACAGAACTGACTTTTTTAGGCAGATTTAATAAAGCCAAAGAAATGAAGCAAGATAGTGCCATGTTCTTAAAAGACACACAAAATATGGAACAAAAATCAATCTATATTCTTTGTTTGTTTTTTTCATTTTAACCAGGACATCCAAAATACTTTTATATTTCAAATTTGTGATGATTTGCAGATCCTTGCCTTAGTGTTATATCTGGAACCCTTCGGGAAGTTTAAATTAAATGAAAATTGGCTTTCTATCCAAGAGTTTTTTACTTGCCACCGGACGGTTTGCCAGAATCGCTTTGAGGCCAACCGATAGTCTTTTTCCATGGCCTCTCCGAACTCCCCCCAGGCCCGAGATTTTGCCTCTGCAACCGCCTGGGCCTCGACACGGTTGGTCTCACGGTACCTGCTTGCTGCTTCAGGAGTCCCACAAGCCAGCCAAGCTCGATAGGACTCCTTCTTCAGCTTGACAGCATCCCTTACTATCCGTGTCCACCACCAGGTTCAAGGATTGCCAACACGACAGGCACCGCAAACCTTACGGCCACAGCTACGGGCAGCTGCATCGACAATAGAGGCAGAGAACACAGCCCATTCGGACTCCATGTCTCCAATCTCCCTCGGAACCTGAGAGAAGCTCTCTCGGAGGTGGGAGTTGAACACCTCCCTGACCTACTGTAGGGCTCCACCAGACGTTCCCAGCAGACCCTCACTACACGTTTGGGCCTGCCGAGTCTTTCAGGCTTCCTCCTCTTCCAGCGTATCCAGCTCACCACAAGGTGGTGGTCGGTGGAAAGCTCCGCCCCTCTCTTCACCCGAGTGTCCAAGACATGCGGCCGAAGATCAGAAGATACGACTAAAAAGTCGATCATCGACCTTCAGCCTAGGGTGTCCTGGTGCCAAGTGCACCGATGGACATCCTTATGCCTGAACATGTGTTCATTATGGACAATCCATAACTTGCACAGAAGTCCAATAATGATTGGGTTCAGAGCTGGGAGCCCGTTCCTCCCAATCACGCCCCTCCAGTTGTCACTGTCGTTTCCCACGTGGGCGTTGAAGTCACCCAGCAGAATGATGGAATCCCCGGGAGGGGCGCTTTCTAACACCCTCCCCAGGGATGCCAAGAAGGCCTGGTACTCCATACTGCCATTCGGCCCATAGGCCGAAACAACTGTCAGAGTCTTCGCTTCAACCCGAAGGTGAAGGGATGCGACCCTCTCGTCTACCGGGGTGAGACCCTCTGAGACGGCTGAGCTAGGGGGAGACAAGCAGCCCCACCCCCTCCGCTGAACTCAATTTTCCTAATTTATTTATTTGATGTAACCCACTCTCTTTTGAACAGTAGACTGATTAAATATCCATTGAATTCACCTTAGAGTATCTTCAGTGATCAGTGTTTCATTTATATTCACTTTGCTACAGTTTGACAAACGTAGCTTGTGAGGTTTAACATATTCAAATATAAGCTCCAGAATCAGTCACTCTAAATGCAGTGTACAATACCATTCTAGTGTAGCAATTGGTAGATGTCTTTAAGTTAAAACTGCTTCTAAACTCCTGGTCCCCTGGTCCCCCGTGCGTACACCCAGTCTCTTTGTGTCTTTTTTTTTTTTTTTTTTTTCTTTTTTTTTTTTTTTTTTCCTCTCCTGCCTCTAAGTGAACAGCTGCTCTGTGTGAACCACCTTCTGTACCTTAATGTTGGGCGGGGTTGGGGGTTTAAAGCACTCAAATGTACTAATCGATCTTCTTACCTTTAACATGTTTAATTTTAAGACATCGTAAATTGTAAATATATCAATCAATATATTTCTTATATTTTCAGCTTCAGGTTTACCTCCTAAAATCACAGAAACATTGACAGCATTTGCATAATGAATGGAACGAAACATAACCAAAACCAAACCCTTTTTGATAGAAATTATGTAGACCAGATCATATTTCTTGAAAATCTGTTTATACTGAAAAACATTTCATACCCCAGACAGACATTGAATAAGCAGAATACAACAGGCAGTTAGACAAACACAGAATATAAAGACAGACACATGCCGGCTTCTAACATAGTGTTGTTTATAATAATATAGCTCTGTTTCTGTATTTAAACAGATACAGAATGCAATGACATTTGAAATCTTCCAGGGTGTGTGTGTCAGCGCACAGTCAGCAGGCTCATAGTGCGAGGAGAGAGGAAGAAATGGTAGGGGGCTTTTTGCCTCAGTGCAGATGAGAGAAAAAAAAACGAAAAGAAAATGTGTTTTGAAGCTTTTAAACGTTGCCTTACAAAATTTAAACTTGTCTTATATCCCCAGTTTATGTAATAATTTCTTCTGTTGCAATTAACAACTTATCGACCAAATATGTTTAAACATTGGGCAAAAATAACCCTTTTTAGTTAGAAATTGGGACACAGTAGCAAATATAAGTGAAAGCAGACGTCCTTTGCAGATATAGATTGATCACTTTTCTCTCCCCGCTTTGTTACTAACTCCATCTCCTAATGCTATTTGTCATCTCACCTGCAACACTTGCCTTTTTCTAATAGCTATGTGGGACCTTTAATGACCAGAAAACGTCCATGAACTGAACCAGACCTCCTCCTGACTTTTCTGACTCCTTTCTCTGACTACGGACCTCCTGTCCAAGCTTGCACAATTGACAACTAAAATTTTAAGGCACAAAATATTTTAATATATAGTATATACACCACCTTCCATCAAATCACCAAACCACGCCCACATTCCAAAGTGACAGCCGTAACTCCCGCCCCGATAGATAAAATACCGGAAGTCCCACCTCCATGAATATAAAATTAATATAAAAAATTAATAAAAAAATTAAAAATAAAAAAAGTAATAAAAAATAAATATAAAAAATAAATAAATAAATAAAAACAAATTATTAAAACAATGTATAAAAATGTATAAAACTTTACAATGTGAAAACCTTTCCTCAGGCAGCAGAACGCTACAAAACTTTTGCAATCCATAGACTGTCATACATCAAGTTTGTATGGTAAATATTTCCATCAATGACTGAATTGTGAGGAGAAAAAAAAAAGGATTCTGTCTATTTAAAAAAACCAAGGCAGTGAATCGAGTGAACAAAAACTAACTTTAAACATAATGCATTTTAGGCGCTTTGTGGCTCAGATCGTGACGCTGTGGTTCCTACCATATCCACTGATCGAATCAGGACTTGCCAAAGACAGATACCGCCACTTTTGAATATATATAATGCCCATTCAGAAAAACAGTTTGGCTCGCTGTTCCCAAACCTAATAGGGACGCTGACACAACCTGAGCGGCTTATTTTTCCACCCACCTTAATTGTTGACTGAGTGAGCACAGGTGTATGGATTTAGATAACAGCGTGGAAAAATACAGACATCTTAGGGTTTAAGTAACTGTTCAATATTTGTATAGAGCCGTGCAGGGTCAGAGGTCACTAAGTCACCTACCTTAATTGTTAACTGAGTGAGCACAGATAATGCGGGGGAGCAGTTTTTTTCCACAACCATTTTAAATAGATTGTGTTTTTAAGGTTAGGAAAGACCGCTAGATGCGAACCAGCTCGTCCATGTTTACTTCCGCAAACACTGAGCATGCCGGCTTGTGACCTTATTGAATCCTCTACTGCGCATGCCGGACGCTTAAGCTGTATGAATGGATAAAATTACATCTTTGATTTTAAATAAACGAATAGAAGTCTACATAGAGGGCATCATGGGAGTGAACTGAGTTGTTAGAATGCTGTTTTTTTGCATTGCATCCTCAAAAGCTTGATTGAATGATTTATCTGACTGTTTTGTCGACATTCCCGTTATCAAAGATCCAACTAGTGCAGGGGTTTTCAAAGTATGAAAGGGTGAGCCCCCCCTCCAGGGAGCACTATGCCTGCTGCGCCCCCCCCACAAAAAAAAAAAATAATAATCAACCCATACACAAACAAATGCCACTAAAAAACACCTTGTACTGTAATTGCTTTTATTTTAGAACCATCTCATCATTTAAAATGACACTATCTGAATGAAATTTTATATATGAACATTTCAACACATTTCCTCCCATTTGAATTATTTTATCGGGGCCTTTGTATGGCAAATACGCCCTTTTTTCATTTTTCTAATGATAAGAACAACCCCAAACTCACTTTTCAACTGTTTTCTCAAACAAACGTTACATCTGAGATTCTGAGTTTAATGTCTGAGATACCAACAGTGTTTTCACATCTCAACAACAACATTGTGATCAGATCTTCATTGAGAGCTGTGAAAATTCAGTCCCTACTGACAGCCAAAAGTGCGCAAGTGACACGTCACTCATCTTCTGTTTCAAGTCCATGTCACAGCTCAGCTCAGCCGGAGCCTCTTCCTCTCCTGCTGAAAGTCCATCTTTGAGTGTCACGGGGAAGGAAAATGGGTTGAATGTGCTGAATAAGAACATTGTTGAACTTTTTTAAGGCACAATGAAGTTCTATTTAATATATTCATCCAACTCTTAAATATATTAATCTTTATTATAAAACTGATTTTATTGGAACATATAAAACTTGCCTTCAAAAGTAGCTACCAAACTCCA